GAGACAGTTTTTCATCACTTTTTCTGCAAACAGGTTTTCAATTCCTTGCTCTCTCTCTTCTCCTTTTAGCATCCTTATAATGCAAATGTTGGTATGCTTGATGTTGTCCCCTTAAACTATCTTCATTTAGAGGTGATTTTTTTTTTTGCTATTCTTGATAGGACTTTCTTTTTACCAGCTTGTTTCCAGGTCACTGATTCTGCTTCATCTAATCTACTTCTGATTTCTTCTAATATATTCACTTCAGTTATTGTATTATTCATTTGTGACTGGTTCTTTTATATGTTTTTTAATCTTTGTTTTATATTTCTCATTTCATTGTTGATATTTTCACTGAACTCACATATGGTTCCCTTAAGTTAACTGAGCGTTTTTATTACTAAGGCTTTGAGCTATCCATCTGATAGATTGTTGTTTTCATTTTGTTAGTTCTTGTTCTAGAGTTTTGTTCTATTTTTCATTTCTGAAATGTTTCTTTATCTCCTCATTTTGGATGCCTCCCTATGTTTGTAGAACTGCTACATCTACTGGCCTTTTGTAGTAGGTGTCCTCTGGGGCGCAGTATCGCAGTCTCTTTGGTGACCTGAGATGATTGCTTCAAGAGTATCCCTCATGGGACTTATATGTATCTTCTGGTTTGAGCCTTTATTTCTGTTGGCATGTCAGGGGATGGCATTGACCTTTGGGCTGACTGGCTGTTAGGATTACCTGTGATTATAGCAGAGATGTTATGTAGAGCAGGAGTCACTTTAGTAGGGCTCTGGTGTCTTCCAAATCAGCCCTTTGGGTGGGTTGTTAGTGGAACTGGTTCAGTGGTACTCTGGGGTAGTCAGAAGCTGGCCACCAATGTGTTCATTCTGGTGCCTCTTGGGAGGAGCTCTAGTGAAGGCCAAAGTAGGATGGTCACAGTTCAACTGAGAAATGCATAAGAATCTCTCTACTGTAATTTTCAGCAAAATAACTTTCATTTGCCATCCTATATGGAACACCTCACCCAATATCAGATTTCTGATAGCAACTTGAGGTAAGGACTTGAAAATATTAAGAATTTAGTAGAGATGGGTAGGAGAAAAAAATGGCATAGATGATAGGGACTCTGTTCATTCCTCTGGTGACCAAATCAAAGTAGCGACGGAAACAAGAAGTAAATAGGAAGGAAAATCACCTGGGATCTAGATGAGCAAGCCATACAAGTAGGCAGAAATCTAAGAGATTGCCCTACAGTGGCAAAAGGTAAGACGGGGTGAGGATGTGCGGCTGCCTGATCTTCAGAGGCTGAGTGAGACAGAGGCTGCAGCAGCACAGATGCCTTTTAAAGGGGCCATGTCTGCGAGCAGACTTTAGGGCTGATAGACTGTCTTGTTCACAGCAGCACATGTCCTGAGCTTATGTGCTGATTAGAAAATCTTCTATTCATAGGAATTCTTCTTGTTTCTGGATGTGAGCTCAACAATGGTTTCCATGCTGAAATAGAAATACCTTTAGAGAGTCATCAACATGCAGAAACACATATTTGGAGCTGTTTGTTTCTGCTCTTGAAGGAATAGTCTAGTGTATGATTTAATCACTGTTTCAGAAATTAATTTTTGTCAAAGGTGAAGTATAGAACGGCTTCCATTGTAGGATTTTCCTGATTTAACAAAGTATGCTCAACCCAAAGCATTTAACTTTAATTAACATAATGACTTGACTACTTAAAATTATCTTGATTAAGAGATGACACACATAGTTACCGAGGGTCTCAGCATTGTGTTTGGTTCCTAAGTGAGTTGAACTTCAGTGCCTAAGTATAAAGTTAGTTGATATTTTGCTAAATGTGCTATCTCTGATTAAAGACAGTTGTAATTACAAAGAATCCCAATGGAATATTAATCTATGTTGGAATTAATAAAAAGCATGTTTTGACATTTCAAAGCACCAAGATTTAACTATTTCTTCCCAGAATCATCTTTTTTAATCATGTGAAAAATAAAAATTCAAATTGCTCATCAAGAACTCAGTACTATTTTATGCTCATCATTTAATTTTAAAATTTTTAAAAAATTGCTGCCAAGCATTGGAATAACTGGCAAGTTGCAACCTTTTTCATTATCTTTTTGAGTTGTGACCATGGTTCATT